TTATTTATGGAGACATTTCTTTGGCATTTTAACCATAGATGCCTCTAGTAAAGAAAAATATGTTACGCACATAGCCGTGGCCTTTTGGGAAGTACTTACCATTCATTGAAAATGCGCTGAAATTACTCGCCATAGGGCTAAAACCTTTTTACTTGTTTGTAGTACATGTCCTGCAGGAATATCTTCAGACAAATCAAATAACAATCGGGCAGAATGATTGAATGGATAATGATTACTAGGTTACTCCTAGGTCTATTCTTGAGTGCACCAGAAAAGTACCAGAGCTGGATCGTCCGCGTCCGCATGTGTACAGACAATATGATTCTTAATATTGCTAAGACAAAATGTTTGTATTTTAGTAAAAAGAAACAGAAGAGAATCTTGCGATTGATATTCAACCTAAATAAAATGGAATCTTGTAGAACGATTTTTGAAAAGCATAAAATTATGACGATATACTCAATTTATATCGACAACTGTCTAAAGTATGCAAAGCGTAATATAACAAGCGATAACTCACATCATAATTACAATACAAGATTTAATGACTTGCTACGGACAGATTTGCACAAATCGAAATTTTGTATGAGAAGTCACCGTTTTATGCTTGCAAAAAGTTGTACAATGCATTGCCTTCTAAAATTAAAAGTATCAATAATTTCAACTCGTTCAAAAATATAGTTAAGAAATATTTACATAGGCAAGCCCTCTATTCACTAAATGAATTCTATGAATTACATAACGACGTAGGTAAAATTCTGTGAAGGAAACTGAGCCGTGTGTACTATGTTCTTTTGTGTAGTTTTGTACTTGACTTGCATTATCATATACCATATATGTCAAGATGCTAATAATAATAATAATAATAACGCCCTCGCCCAATAAAGTTACACGGCCTAGCACAGCTAAAAAACACAATACTCTTTCTTCTCAGAAACACACCACGTTATCACAACCCACTCGTACTCCCAAACGCAACAACCTTAACAGCACTACAGGCTCACAAAATACTGTAATGTCTCCACCAATAACCCATGCAACAACAGAAATACAACCTCAAGAACAAAGAAACACCATAAATACAAGTAACGCAACATGCACTACAAAGACAGGTCCATCCAATAAAGTTACACGCCTAGCACATTTAAAAAACACAAAACTCCTTCTTCACAGAAACACACCACGTTATCACAACCCACTCGTATTCAACCGAAACGCAAAAACCTTAACAGAACTACAGGCTCACAACATACTGTAATATCTCCACCAAAAACCCAAGTAACCTCACAAATACAACCTCAAGAACAAAGAAACACCATAAATATAAGTAACGCAACATGCACTACAAAGACAGGTCCACCCAATAAAGTTACACGTCCTAGCACAGTTAAAAAACACAAAACTCCTTCTTCCCACAAACACACCACGTTATCACAACCCACTCGTATTCAACCCAAACGCAAAGCCAAAGAAACACTTACACAATAAACTCCATTTAATAAAATTACAGAAATTATTATGATTTTTTTTGGTTTTGTTTTGTTTTCCTCTTTCCTGACGGCGTTGGCTATTGTGCCCATCAATAGGTATGTTGGTAAGTATGAATTACATACTATCCCTAGATTTCCAATGTACGTGTGTGATTTTTTTTTAAGGACCCTACATAACAGACACAGACACAGACACTAATCGTTACTTGATTTTAATCCGTGCGATTAGTTAACCAGGCTAGACCTGAGTTCTCACAAGAAACACCGACCATAATAATAATAATGTTTATTAATCCAATAGATCACAATTTCTGGATATAGGACAAGTCAAATTAAACCAAAAGTAACCAATAAAATACGTACATATAACGGTAAAAGACAACAATATTCTATAAGTAAGTAACAAACACATAAAGAAATCACAGTTAAAATGAATGATTGAAATACTCTTCGATGGAATAAAATGCATGGTTGACTAGAAAGTTTTTTACTGTGTTTTTAACTCGGTTTTTAAAATGGCGTCCGGCATGCGGTTTTATTTCCATGGGAAGTTTGTTGTATATTATCGCGCCCATATAATACGGGTTCTGTCTAAATAAATTAGTGTGATGGTTGTTTATTGCTAGATCATTGCCGTGTCTTGTGTTATAAGAATGAAATGAATTTAGCTCATTGAAGTCTCGGATACTGTTTTTAACAAATTTCAATACTTCCAATATGTATATGCACGGGAAAGTAAGTATCTTCTCTTTGATAAAAGTCTCTCTACATGACTCACGAAAGCTTAGATTGAACATTAGCCTTATTGTTCTTTTCTGTAGAATAAATATTCGTCTAACGTTTGTTGAATTACCCCAAACAACTACACCATATCTCAGTAATGATTCAAAATTTGAGAAATAAAAAGTTTTGACTACGTGCAAGAAGGTGCAAGTCAGTAATTTGCTTTAACCTTTCCAAAACATAACAATTCTTAGCACAATTTTGTGCAACTACACACTTTCCAATTTAGAGACATATCAAGTTCAATACCCAGTAATCTCATTGAGGCTACTTGTTCTATAGATTTGTTATTTTTCCTGATTAATGTGCTTTCCGTATAAAGATGTTGACGCATAAGGAATTGCATTGTGTAGGTTTTATCAATATTTAAACTTAGTTTATTTTTGCTAAGGAACGCATCTAATGTTTCAAGATTTGATGATATCGAATCTGTCAGAGATTCTAAATCGTTATCCGAAAACAACAAAGTTATATCGTCCGCAAAAGCTGTGTAATGGGAACTAATACATTGACCTAAATCGTTGCAATAGAGTATAAACAGCAGGGGCCCTAAGACGCTACCCTGGGACACACCAACATCAATTTCACGACATTCAGATCTAGCTTTTAAATATTCTACAAATTGTTTTCTCCCGTTTAAATAGCTTTTTAACAAATTATTTATTTTGCCTCGCAGCCCATACGGTTCAATTTTTTGCAGCAATATTATGTGATCCACACAATCGAATGCTTTTTGCAGGTCAACAAATAGTGCGAACACCTTGTTACCGGAATCAAGTTCTGTGTAAATTTTGTCCAAAATTTTGCAGAGAGCAAGTGATGTAGATCTAGATTTTCTAAAACCGTATTGCTGCGGTGAAAATAGATTGTTTGTCTCTAAGAAGTTAGTGATCTGGTGAGTCAAGAGTTTTTCAAAAACTTTAGAAAAAAGAGATAACAAGGCAATAGGTCTATAGTTACTCATCGAGTATGGGTTGCCTTTTTTGAAAAAACAAATTACTTTAGAAATTTTTAGTTCATTTGGAAAGTAATCAATAAATCACTTTATACTTTATACATACTTTATACAAGAATGACTACCACTTCCATTTTTGTTATCACTAGACTACAAACCTCTAGGTGTGATGACATGCTTACAATTCGGCACGACTACTACTGCGACAATGCCGACAAGTCCATCGACTTATGTAGTAATACCACTTTCTCGGTCCATCCGTCCGTCTGTCCGTCCGAGGCCGAAATTACTCTTCCAGTTTTCAAGATATTTAGTTCGTTCTTTTTACACTGTGCAATGTCAACTTTCTTATTTATGAAAATATTTTATTAAAATTTTAACCACATCAGATGTTTCTAGTAAAGACAATCATATCGCATATTGTAAAAATCAAATGTGCGCATACTTTCTTATTGACGCAGATATTTTTATCACAGTGAAAAATCGCTATTGGCTGCATTTTGTCGTTCGTCCGTCCATGCGTCCGTCCGTCCCACGTACTCCTTCTACACATCTGAACCTATTTGGGCGATATAGGGCTCATTTGAAAGGGCTTGGTCCAAGGATTCCGTGCATACCGATATGTTTTGGTTTTGCGCATGCGCAGTGTCAAAAATTTCGCATGTGCAATGCTAACTTTTTAGCGCATTTTTTTAAGAATTAACACATTTTCTACCCTTCATGGTATTCAAATGAAAGGTCTCATCGAAATAAAATGGTTTGTACAAACTATAACTTCCCCGTGCGACTCTTTTTCGAGATCAGTGAGCGGCGGGGCCTGAGGGGGGGGGGTTAAATATTATATCTCTCATTGTATTCTAATTATAGGTCTCGACGAAAGGAACCGTTTTCTACCAACTACTGCCCTTCTTTTTGCCTTCTTATTAAAGTACGGGATGTAGGGGGAGGGTTAAAAAATGGGCTTTATCTGCACAAGACCTGTGCACAATTTATACTTGTTTGTATTTGTATACGCTCCCCTATTTTTTATTAAACTGTATACAATTATAGACTCCGACGATAGGCGGCTCATTTAAAAGAGAATGGAATAAGGATCTCGTGCCTACCGGTATTTTTTCCTGGTCCTAGCATTAATATTATTAGGTCATTTATGTTTACATAATGACTTTTTAAACTTGTTTTGATATTTGAAGCAAAAATTCTTCTCATAAAGGCAAACATATCGCATATTCTAAACGTCAAGTGTACCGTTTGTATTTACGGTGGTAACGAGTGTGCGTAAGTTTTTTATTTATAAACATAATTATGCCATAACTTATTTTCCTTTGTACAAAAGCGCAACAATATGTGTCTCCCATTTAATCACCCCTAGTTTCCGAAATCTCTACGAGAAACATGTAGGGAAAAATACATGCTTGACGTTGTATGCTAAAAGAGCGCCAGAAACTTTCATTTACAAATCTCGAAATGTTCTAGTGTCGTATGTTCCTACAAAAAAGCATATTCAGACGACGCGACTTAAAAAGTAGGTGTCAGTCTTTTATTGTAAGCTTAGACAGCGGTGACTGCTGGTGAGTCAACAAGAAAAATTTTACGTGTAAATTGTAGCTTTCAGCTAAGATATTCGTATATTTATCCTGTCACTAATATCGCTTCACTACCAATTAAGTTTCAGATCATATAATACTTTTGAGTGTGGTATTATCATTGTTCATAAACAATGGCACATATATACCTACATCTTTGGAATAATGAAAATCTTAGGTAGGTACTCACCTCAACGTTGTCGTTCTCGTAGGTTTACTGCTAAACTTTACAGGATTCTTGCTTGTAGTAAATTGCACCGGTTTTTTTGAAGGCTTTGGCTTTGGTTTATAACTTGCCTTATTCTTATTTTTCGTTACAAATCCAGGTTCCGTGGTAACGTGCCAAGATAACGAATTTGGTTTATATGCTTGATATGAAGAGTTCTTGTGACCTGTTATAAAATTGGGTTCTGTAGTAATTTGCCATCCAACATGCGTTGAAAATGCCATTGAAAGATTTACAGGAGAAAACGTATCTAATCCGACTGGTAGAATACTATGTCGTGGTGGTTGTGTAGGCCGCTTGAAGGTGTTTGCGTCCTCTGAATTCGAGTGGAAGTTTAAATGCAGACTAGGTCTAGATGTCGCTACATTCAAAGGGCGAGAATGTGATGATTCTATTCCTTGTGGTCTGCTGAAACATAGAAACTGTTTGTAAATTGTTATATATTTGTCCTTTATCAGAAACAGTGAATTTCGTAATGAAAGTGCAACTTACAGCCATGTATCCGTTTTTGGAATACTCATTAGTCATTACTCTAATTTACTTTACTACCTCCACGGGGAAATTGAATTGCTTCGACATGTTTCTTAGATATTTTACTTTACTTATTTTAAAACTGTTCAATGCAAAAGTAATACTCGTATATTTTGGACATAAAAAAAGAGGTGGACAGTTAAATTAATGACCATATGCAATCGATCAAGAAAGATTTCTCTGGAAGTATAGTGCTATAAGTACAAAAAATTTTTACTGGCGTGTTTTTTACCGAAGGATATTTATTGGAATCGTTCATACTGCAGTGATTTTTTATGAAAACTGGTCGAGGTGTTAAAAAATCATTAAGTATACAAACTTCTTTGAATCAAGGTTTTTTAGTTAGTTAGTTAGTTTTAGTACTTATGTCAAGATTAAAATCATCTTGATAAACACATCGTCTCTCGTCATCTCGATTTCTCTCAACAGACTCGTTAGAATGAAGATAATTATCTTTTAGCGTAACAAAATATGGATTCAAGTTCTTTAAAAAAGGAAATAACCTTCCAATCTAACAAGTCGGTGTCATAACTTCAGCTCTCCAATAGTCACAATCTGAAAAAGTTGCAGACGATGTAATGTCCTCCCCACACATCCCTCAGATTTTTTAGGGGTGCTCCAACCGGCTTGCTCCTTCACATACTTGATTTTAGTTTTTTGACATTTTTATCCTTCTTTATTAGAATGCGCTTAAATAAGAACAGAATTGAGCTAAGGGTTATAGCATTCACCCCCTCACCTCCAGCTACACCCACCTATTATAATATGCATTCTCTTTACAGAAATGCCCACCAAATAAAATCTGTATGGTATGGTTATGACTTAAAATACGCAACATTGTCTCCACTAGTACGCTGAAAATAATACATACAATCTTCACCGTATTTCGATTTTTTATCAAAATGTAATAAAAGTTAACAATCCGTGCGGATTCGATTTAAATGAAAGCCCTGTATAGCCTTCTCCTATCAAGTTACTATGTGTATGTGGTACGTAAAACTGCAGTATGGAAGAATGGAAAATACAATGAAATCTTAGATGATTTGGCGATAGAAAAATTGATACCCTGATCGCTTAATGGAGTTCTTGTGTAAGTAAACTTAGGCGCTATTTGCGTTATATATATATATATATATATATAATTTATGACATGGTTAACTTCGCGTTGAACTGTAAACCTTGTATAACATAATAGTGGAGTCGTCTTTTCCACAATAATGGAAACATAAGATAGTTTTGATTTTGCTATCCAAACAGTAATATAAGCACTTTCACTTCGAAATTGTTTTCAACTACACCTAATATTAATACATGTTAACGAATACACTCACCTTGGTCTAAGTTTACCGGCGTCTGGCCGGTTGGTGCTATGATTATTTGAATCTCCAGGAGGTGTATATAAAACTGCCGGATTGTTATTCGAATTTGGTATCACTATGTTGTCGGTTGCGTTGTGCGCACAACACGACCCAAACATAAAACTGTCTACGCACATTCCTACGTGAAAGCCTTCGGATTTTATGCACTCCCAAACGAACATGCAGGTTCCTTCTAAACCATCCACCCAGCAAGGTTTCGGACTGATTTGATAAGCTGAAAAGTATAGTGATTGTAATAATTTGACGACATAGTAAAATTGCAAATAAAAACATGAACCTACATTAAATTTTACATAAAAAAACTCCAATATAGATTCGAAAGAAAATTGGTGAAATTGTAAAAAAATTTTGAACGCAACACACCAAAATGGGGAGCCATTGTCCTTTGTGTCTGTTTGTCTGTCTCTGTGTACTTGTGCACGATGAAACTTTGCTCCTAAACGACCCATCGACTTCAAGGGTTCGATTTATAAAGGCCTTTTCACCAATACTAAACGGGTGCGTTTGGTTCTGTTATTAAAGTACCGTATGATCAAAAATCTTTAAACGGTACTTGATATTTTGATGATATTTTAGACATTTCTTCAAAATCAATTTAATAACTAATTATTGATGTTCATTATTATTTATAAATAAGTAATAACAATACGTTTTGGATTTGATACATGCGTTTTCTGTATTACCGACGTTACAAACGTTAGCGTCTGATTTTCTGTGAATTATGATGATGAAGATAGTAAGGGGCTATTGCAAATACAGTTCATTTTTTTTAAATTAGGAAAGAAAGTTTATTTTTCTAATTTGGACAGTGAAAGTAATGAATTTTATTGTTTGAATGTGGTTTGTGTAAAACCTAAAGTTACAAATATGTGTTAGTGAGATGTAAAGACTGGATGGCAATTACTAAGGATGGCATGTATGTTAGCAACCTAATTCATAATCTGTTATTAACTAACGCCATTATAATGTTGAACAAGAACACGATCAAGGGGGCTCAAGAGTACAGTGTTGAATAAAACAATAAAAATACATTTTCCATTGTATACTAGGAGACTTAATAAACAAAAAACTTGATTCAATGAAAATAATTTATTTATGTAGGTATAGATGAAGGGAAGCTGCCCGAATATTAGAGGAATCTCTATAGAACATCCATTCTGAATCTATAGTACATACATGGAATATCCTATTGAACATCTTTGCATATTACCATTGAGTAATTAAATATGAGCCTTCACTCAACGATATTAGAGGAATATTCATGGAATATCCACTTGTCAGTATACCACCAACATACAAAGCATGTCTGATGCATATTCATGAATATACGCAAGACATCCAAAACGTATATAGCTATAAACTATGTATTATGTAAAGTCTGCCAAACTTATATCCCTTGCATATACATCGGATATTTGCGCCATATTTTTCCACATTCTATGGATATACAAAATCGCACGTGGAATGTGCATGTTGTATGCAATGTATATAGGTCTGCTATGTGGGTATTATTATTATTTATTAGGTAACTTAACAAATTGCTGCCGTTAACGTGTTGTGCATGTACTACTATTCCATTCTTGTCTACTGTAGAGGGTGGTTCAAATTGGTGACTCACCATACAGTATAAGTAAATTGGGGGCAAAGTGGTTGTAACTAAAAAACCGCATTACATCTTTTTGAAAAATCTTTGAAAATAACTGAGCTATCACGGATGAAATTTGAAAAATTTGATTTGTTAAACTCAAAAATGATCCAACCAAGTTTCTCAATTATGCTACTCAAATGAACTGCCGTGGTACAACTGATGGCCCTTATAGGCAAAGTTCTCGATCATTTCGATATATGCTGAATGCAATTGCAAATGTTTTATTACCCACGCATTAAAGCTTACCTTGTCCACGTTGCGTCGGCCGAACAGAATTTCCTGGGGCAGCGGACCACAGCAGTATGGCGCCGAGTACAGCCTCCCAGAGCATACTTGATCCTGAAAAGATGCAAAAAATTAGGTATACAATTAAACGCCACAATGTAATAATCGTTCGTTAAATTTCCACGAATTACTTCTTTCCGCATTATGTGATTTGAATGTAGGTATTAAATAGGTAGTGTTATTCAAACAAATGCTTTTTTATACAAAAGTGAAAACAAACACCAATACACCACAATGATATATTAAAAGATGGAACACATTTCAACCGCAAAGCTGTCATCATCGACGACTAAGTGAATAACAAAATACAGATAGGACCTTACTTAGACTACCTAATGATAAGTGAAAGTGAAGGTTTACGAGCTCTGATTGGCCTCTAAAGGACGCCCTTCAGCATTACTCATTTGGAAGTGTTATTCTTTTACAAACACTTTTATAACAATCTTGTACTACTTACTTGCTTAACCAGACAAATATCGCCAACTAGACGATTTCTAAACAACCCCACATAGCAGACATATACATTGCATATAACATTCACTTTTCCACGTGGGATTTTGTATATCCATAGAATGTGGAAAAGTATGTCGCAAATGTCCGATGTATGTGCATGGGATATAGTTTGGCAGACTTCACATAATACATAGTATACAGGGTGGTCACTTGCGTAACGCATCATATAGGGATTTCAATGTAAAATTCATTACATGCGATTATTGGCTCCCCAAATTAGTTTAGAGCAAAAATGTATTAAATTTTTTTGTAGAAAATTTTTTTTATGCCAATCAACCGTATTAGTTTTCAATTTTTTTCATATAAAGACGGAAAATTGGAAAAATAAAACCCGCATCTTTTTCAATAATCTGCGATGCCATGGAATTTTCTAAAACAAAAAGACATCCAGTTATCAATTAGCAGCAGTTCGAAATGGATTTTATGATCGACTACTGTCTTGCAGTTAATAGCGATTTATTCGAACGTTTATTGTAAATTGTTATATTAGGAAACCGTTTTTAGTAATTTGGTCTTTCTTTATGTTGAATTCGCTGTTCTAAATATAATACTTTTTGATAGAATTTGATTTGTTTTATAGCAGACATTCCATGGCATGACGGATATTGGTGTAGTTTTTGTATTATAAAATTCCATGGCATCACAGATTATTGAAAAAGATGCGGGTTTTATTTTTCCAATTTTCCGTCTTTATTATGCAAAAAATTGAAAACTAATACGGTTGATTGACGTAAAAAATTTTTTTCTACAAAAAAACCTTAATACATTTTTGCTCTAAAGGAATTTGGGGAGCCAATAATGGCATGTTATGAATTTTACATTGAAATCCCTATGATACGTGACGCAAGTCACCNCATATTTGGATATCTTATGTATATGCATGTCTATGCATCAGACATGCTGTGTATATTGGTATACTGACAACTGGATATACCATGAATATTCCTGTAATATGCAAAGATGTTCAATAGGATATTCTATGTATATTGTATACATTCAGCATGGATGATCTATAGAGATTCCTCTAACATTCGGGAAGTTGACTAGCATCTATACCTACATAAATAAATTCTTTTCACTGAGTGAAGCTTTCGTTTATTATGTCTCCTAGTATACAATGGAAAATGTGCTTAAGAAATTATTATTGCTTTATTTAACACTGTAGTCTTGAGTCATCTTGATCATGTTCTTATTCAACCCTATAATAGCGCGAGTACATAACAAATAGGTTGCTAACACACCTGCCCTTCCCATCCAGTCTTTACATCTCACTAACACATATTTGCAACGTTAGGTCAGGCACACACGAAATAAAAATCATTACTTTCACTGTCCAAATTAGACAAACAAACTCATTAATAACTCTCAGAATAACACTCCTGATTTTAGAAAAATGAACTGTATTTGGAATAGCACCTTACTATCTTCATCGCCGTAATTCACAGAAAATGAGACGCTAACGTTTGTAACGTCGGTAATACAGAAAACGCATGCATCAAATCCAAAACGTATATACATAACATATAATCCCATGTATATACATAGAACATCCTCGTGAGGAGGTATAAGATTTATACATAAAAGATACATACAATGGTGTGCCTAAACATCCATAGCACATCCAAAATGTATATTTATATAATATCCATACTGGACATAAAATACATATGTCTATAATGAATATGCATAGTATTACATAAGATGGACAGGATATTCCCTGTACATTATGGATTGAAAATGTATATACATAAGATATCGAATACTACGTGGGACGATTATCTTTGAAATGAGCCATATGCTCTTTAGAACGAATCTTCAATGATCGATTTGTTAGCCAAACGTATTTGATTACAATTTTTACAAATACAATATTGCTGTGTGCACCGGTCCGTAGGCCAGAAAGACCGTACACAAAACACTTAAACAAAACCCTAGCTAGCTCATTACCTGTAGCTATCACGAAACAAATCTTCTCACCAGCACAGGGGAGAAATTTGACTCTGCTCTCAGTTAACCTGTTAGGTAACTTCTAACAGATAGTCGGTTAGACCAAATACCTTAAATTCTAAACTGAACCTCAAAATTTTGAATAATTAAAATGGACCTTGGGCAAAGCATCCAACAAAAACACAGGTAAATTAAAGATGAAGTCGTTATAATGAAACACACGGAAATTAATGTGAAAATTACACAAGTGCGATTTAATCGTAACACACAAAAGGAAAATGGTACAAAAAAACAGAAACAATTAGGTATTACGAAAAAAAGACTAAAATTAAAACTTAATTACTTACATTAGGTACATGTCCGGGAATTGTAATCCAAATAACAGGTACACTAAACACAACGATTACACAAGTTTCAAATAAACAATTACACTTTAAAATCACGCCGAAAACACACTCATAAGGGCGCCAGGCGTCGACAAACAATTTTCTTTGAAGCACTTTATTAGATGGTCAAAACTTTACAATCCTCCAGCACGAACAAACTCGAAACGTAGAATAATAATCAGCCGCGAACTCGGCTTCCGGCTACGCAAAACGGAACTTCTTCTATCTTCCAACTTCAAAAAAACGTAATACGGCCCTGACTCTTGGCGTAAAGCTCATTTCAAACTTCAACAAGACGTAACTGCGTAAACTGTGCGTACAGCGAATTTTAAATTGACCGCACTTGGGCTCTGAACTTGGCTTAAAACTGAATTAAATCTTCAAACAAACGTAGTTTTTCATTGACTGTGCGTAAAAAGCTGATTTCAAACATCATCGGAACGTAGTTCCGCTCCCAAGATGGCAAAAGGCTGAATAACTTCTTCAAAGAAATGTAGTTCTGCGTTGAATGTGGCAAAGTCCCGCTTCCTTGTGCAAATCCTATTTAAGGTGAGACCCTTCTTCCGAAAATCATAATTATAACAACCAATCGTACACAGTTGACAACAAAATATATCCCTTCTATATACGAAAATCGACCGAAAATAATAGAGGTGGAATAATTTTATAAAATCAATTCTTATCTTATAACATAACTTAAAATACTAGGAAAACAAAAAAATTCATCTCTTTTAAATACACAGATATCAGCAAACAAAATTCTTGAAAAATTTCTACGTTTAAAAAAATAAAAAGGTAAACAAAAACAACCTTGACCTCTTTCTCGTTTGACAATAATTTCCGTGCCGATACATACACCAACGACAAATACAATAATTTAATTATGAAAGTTAATTACAAAAGAAGGAGACCGCCCTTGTCCATCTTAATTACTATGATTTCAAAAAATTTCGTCCGGCAGGCGAAATAACACAGAAATATATAGTGATATTCAAGTAGAAGTACAGGGTGTTACATGACCGCATGCAAAAACAAGTTAAAAAGTAATCGTAAACGATTTACAAAAAGCGCATTTCCACTTGCATTCATTTCCCATGTGTAAGATGCAACTTCTGTTAAAATCGTAAAAATCCGGCCACAAATATGAAAGCTAGCGTTGCATAGGTGCAATCCATTTTTGATTCCCTACTTCAGTTTCGGTTTATAAGAAGAATTTCATTTCAATACTTTCATAAATAAAGGTAAATTTTATTGACTGTAAATAATAAATTATATAACTTAGCAAATATTATCCAGATCGTAACTGATATTAAGAAGTGAGCAAGGAATAAGGACAGGGATAATTTTATGGTAAGGATAACAAGCCGAGATGGATAATAATAATTTAATAAAACTAAACGTTTCTTCTTCCAACTTTAATCTCACAATTTTATTCGTTTTGTTGTAACCGCCGTGTTTCTTTTCTTACTACCTATATCTGAATATAGTTTTCATTGCTATAGTTTCGCGCGTACGTACGAGGACGTCCGAAAACATGGCGGCAATTTAAATTATTTCTATTGTGCGTCCATTGACGGATATTTTGAACTTAGTTGTCTGTCCGTGCCAAACGCTTGAACATATTCGGTTGAAACTTTGCACAGTAGACCTATATGCCACATGTAACAGGCCTATTGAAAATGGGTCAAATCCAATGACCCAGTAGGATCGCGCCTGTTTGCCTCTGGCAAACGCTTGAACCTATTCGGTTCCAACTTTGCACAGTTAACATATATACCACATACAGGGTGGTGCCTAGCGCAACGCAGCATAGGGATTTCAATGGTAATTTCTTTATAGTCAATTACTAGTTCCCCTAATTATTTTAGAGCAAAAGTCTAAATAAGTTTTTTTAAGAGAAAAAAATACTGCAACTGTTCATACTTTTATAGTTGACGCCAAATTAAGTTGGGTATGACTCATTCTTAAAATTGTACGGATTAAGGACGGCATACTATTCATGAGAACCAATAGAGGTCGCCACTGACAAATTGCATTGTAAAATTATATCAAAATTTGAGAATGACTCCTGGGCTTATACAATCATTTTTTAGCTTGGTTTTTGAAAATATAAATTCTACATACATTACTCTAGAGCGACTGTATAAAGGTTTTACTAAAAAGACAGTAATTACTACAATATTGCTAAAATAAGAGGGCACATTTCAT